AAAGTCACTATGAGTCCCTCCACCCGCCTATGACTTTACACCATATTAGACTAAACTTTGAAGTTACTTACTACTACTTCACCTGATTGCGTCGTGTTGCCGGGACTTCGCCGGTACTATATATACCGCCCTAAAATGTATATTAACATCATCCAGGCGGAGTTTTTCCACGTGCGCAGTCCCTTTCGCACTCTTCGTGCCTATAGGAAAGAATAACAAACGTCGTGCTAACACGTCAGTGTATACAAACCTCCGCACCCACGCAAACAGCACGAAACCCCCGCCCCGCGCGCGGCACCGTTATCAACTCACTGAAGCCATGCTCGAATAAAACTTGCGTGTGCGTGAGAATATAGCGATCAGTGCGGAAAGATGCCAGGCTCAATAAAAAAAAAAACAAAACAATCATGCCCTGCATTGCATATCCCTGCATTATAGCTAGCCTGGTACGGGTCACAACAGAACACCACAGAACAAATCACAGAACAACACAGAACAACCTGCTGTTGCCTGCTCGCTAGCTCATACGTACACAGCTGTAATAGTCACGTTACCACAGTCCCTGGGAAGTAAGTCTGAACGGCTTGGTGCTTACTGGCTCAAGCGCAGGGCTGAATGAGGCAGGCCTGGACCCCACATGAACTGACGCATCGATGTTCGTAGGTATTAGAGGTCATTGAAAATCTGCCGAAAGAAAAGGCGCACATTTTCACGTCGCGTATATTATTATATATTATATTATTATTGTTATTATTATTATTGAATATTATATTCTTATTATATGATAATTTGTGTGATATCGTGGATGATATCTGTTGAAAAGCGTTCAGTCTCCCGGGTGAGATGAGGTTATTTAGAGGCTTTCGATAGTGAGACATAAGGACCACACCTCGCCGATTCGCGTACCTTACATCCAACGAACGGGAGATAAGTTTGCGATTTGATGCTTGGCCCGCAACGATCTTACCCTTATTACTTACTCGTTCAATAGAGAGCGCGCTACCGATGTCTCTCACAATGCGCGTGATGAAGAGGCGTGTAGAGATAGGGTCAAGCAGACTATATCTGACGTGCATTGCTGTAAGACTCGCCTGCTGCATGTCTCCGCCTAAAGTACGATGGATCTGCGGCGTTAACCAATAAAACACGTAAAATCTTGTCAAAAAAAATGTCAAGATTAAACCTCTATCCGCCTAGAGGTGAGACTGCTAATTGTCTACAGGTTTTACATTGTTCGATTTATCTCAAAGGATAATCATTTTCAGCCAATAAATCGAAGTAAGATGATTGGGTTCATCAGGTTTTAATATTAACAATAATAGTTATAGCCGGTACGAAAAACCATTAGAATAATTTTTTATATGAATAGCGGATCAATAGCTAGGAGAATATGCATGTGCAAAGAAATGAGATTAGTCAGATATATTTGGCTGGACGTCCGTAAAACATTTTACGGTTTACTTTGAATTCTCTGTTATATTTTATTTACGCGCCACCATACAGTCTTCGTCTCAAGATAGATCAATATTTTTGCACTTGTAAACTTTTACATTTATATTACATATTATGGCATGGCGCGTATGATTATTTTCATATAAATAAACGTATAAAAATTATCCCGTGATGTATAATAAAAATTTATGGTTGAAGAGATTTCTAAGCGAAACTATCTATAAAATAAGGGTCCGCCGCATTCCACAGCGGGTCGGTTATTATAGAACAAACGTTATTAATAGCACCAGTTTGCGATGGTGGCTTCACACGTAACTAAGAACCTATCCCACGCTGTCAGAAACTGGAATCATCTTCGTCCAAGAGTAGTTAGCTAAACATTTCGCTGAGGTTAAACCATATAAATAAATAAATAAATAGAATATATATATATATAAATAAATAAAATTTATATATATATATATTATATATATAGACCATGGTCTAATCTAAACTAATGTTTATCTGTGGTTAAACCAGCTAAACCGTCGTAAGATATCGGGATAACAGAATAGATATCGTCATGGCAGCAACTTTTAAGCACTATGTGATGATTTGTCGATTAGCGATAAATTTGTGCGAAATAGATAAGTTGATTAATCCAACGATTCGACGGAGTTAAGTCCGGCGTACAGTTTTGTGTGTGTGTGTTTGTGTTGCGTGTGTGTGTGTGTGTGTGTGTGTTGTTGTGTGTGTTGTGCGTGTGCGTGTGCTGTGTGCGTGTGCGCGTGCGCGTGTGGATGTGCGCGTGCGTGTGTCGTGTGTGCGTGGTGCGTGCGGTGCGTGCGTTGCGTGCGTACGTG